ATTGCCAACTGCAGATTCGAAGCGGAGCCGTCAACAGATTTCTGTATCTTGTCCAAGTCAACTCCCGATTCGGTGAGACAGACTTGAAGTTTTGACAAAATCGTGGCTGCGAACCCGCGAACTTGATCTTCGTCTCTCGCCTGCACATGGACCGCGTATATCTCCAAGTATACGGTCTCCTCTATTCTAGCCATCTCGGCCTTTGCAACGAGACAGGATGGGATACCGTCTTCAGAAGGCACCAGGCGTGGGTCGAAATGGACTTCGGAGACTGGTATACTAGGAGATGACCCAGCCGTCCAGCAAACGGCCTTATCAAGCATGTATAAGCAGTATGAAAGGTTTTGTCGTTCCTTGATGTCGTCATCACTCAGTTGACCCTGAAAGGAGTGCCACTGGTGGATGCCGATGGACTTGGCACATCTGATTGCTAGAGCTAGCAGCGTCTCGGATAGACCTATAGAGAGGTACACTTGCGCGACTATGTGCTTCTTGTTTGTCAGTGATTCAGTGCAACTAGGAATGGCGGGTATTAGTAGTCGGAGATCTTACCAGAGATAAGAGTGCCTGCACATTGATGAGGTGCGGCGACACAAGTTGGTCAATATTGCTGACAGCGCGCTTCGCGTTTGTCAAAAAGCCCGCAATGAGGTCAAAGTCGATTGACGACGACGCCTTGCGGGTCTGCTTGGACATCATTGACTCGCGCTGGTGGGAGCCTAGGGAGTCCGCTGACATGGCCATGAGGATGAGGTTGTTGCAGCAGACGATAGAAGCAAGGTCCCGTTCGGATGGCGCGGATTGCCGCAAAGCCGTAGCCATTTGAGTGAACCTTTTCTTGGACCAGATAGGGAAATGATCATTGGTTGTTGTAAAGTATGGCTCAATCATTGCGTCCAAGATGGCAAAGGGAGGCATCGCAGGCGGTGACTTTTCCCCAATGGGAATCTCTTCTCCCTGGCCAACCAGATGATCAATCTTGCGTTGTGCTTGCATTACGCATTCCTTCACGGTGTGCCTGTCGGTGTCAGGACTCTGAACGAGCTCATCCTTGATGTTGAGCATTAGTGACTCGAGAGAGGTCGGGCCAAAGCATCTCTCGTCACTGTTTTGGTCCACTAGGAAACGACCAAGCGGCCTCGTGAATACGGCCGATTGTGACGAGTCGGGGAACCGGTGATCACTCAATTGCGGTGTAGGGCTCGCTGGGCTGGCTGGGCGTCTTGAGGAAGGTGAGACAGTCGATGAACACTCGAAAAGTCGCTTCAAGGACCTTTGAGTGTCGGCCAATGAAGTCTTCAAAAAGCGGTCCTTAGAAATCGTCTACAGATGTGTATGGGACTTGCGTCCAGCTTACCTCGAGTTGTTCAAGGCGACTACCCATACCCAGGATAGTATGGCTTCTATGAATCATGAGCTCGGAACAGCAACGCGTGAAGTACTGAAGTAGTGAAGTAGTGGCGTAGTACATACAGAAGAGTTGTTTGATTGCACTTTTTGCCTTGACCGGACCACTCACACTGCAAGCCCAGGCGGCCACAGTTCCTGCAAGAGGGCTTTTCTCGACTGCAGCGTATTTTCCTGGCCCGGCATTGGTCACACACTGGTCGAAATGATTGGTTACCTATGGTTTGCTTCCTTTTTGGGGGCCGCAGATCGGAGGCTCGCTTACCTGTGTACTCATCTCTACTAAGTTCCTTGGCCATTGTCGCGGTTTTGCCAGAAAGAAGTCGTAGGCCGCGCGGATCTTCGATTATCCTCTGGATAGGTGGAAACCGGGTCTAACGTACAGCTTGACATCTTACAATGACTGCGGGTAAGAGCATTTATAGGAGAATAAGGCTCCGTTTGCCAGCCGCAGTGGGGGTTATCACCGTCCGTCCATTTTCTTTCTGCATGTTGACATGCATTCTTACCGGGGGCCACTTGAACATCACCAGCGACTGAGGGTCATTAGGGGCCAAGGCCAAGCATGCACATGGCCAACCAGGGCACATCAGTGGAGAGTAGTTGGATGTCCAACCCAATTAGACAACATCAGCCTGATAAGAGGTTAGAGGAAAATGTACTCTCCACGTTCTAGATTTGCTGCTCATATCTCAGTGTCAGCAAATATATTAGATTACCTTAGTAGATAGTAATCTTTGATCTATACCAGCCGAGAAGGGAAGCGAAGATAGTTTGAAAAATATTCGACATGGAGGCGACGTAGTCTCGATGTACATCCGGATCTACTGGATAAATATACTGCTGTCGAGTTTCGGCTGAATCCATCAAGCCATGATCGAATTCGCTTCTGCAGTTGTTCGCCACGGCTGATTGACCGAAATCTTATTTTGATAACCTAATAACATTCTAATATAGCTTTCCGGAGCTTGCCGGTGCAATAATTCCACAATTACATTCTGACAAGCATTTTGAGGATAGACTGCGAACTACAGAGGAGCTGCTGATAATCTACTGGCGAGACAGGAACTCGAGTGATTCGGGTAGGAGGTATTTTTCCGGAGCTACGGAGCATAGTCAGATATCATGCGGCTCTTTTACCGTCTGTCTCGAAAGAACTGACGCGGCTCAGTTGAGATGCGAGGTCAAACAGTTTCTGCCATTTGGTCACACCAAAAAGACTCTCCAAATGCAACGGTGCCATGCTGCGTTGTGGAACCTGTCCAGCGAACATTTACAACCACCCTATGCATCATACCAGACTGATGGCAGTAAGAGCTCTGCAGAATGGTGACACCTAGCGTGAGGGGGTGGCGCGTCTCTTAGCAGATTGACGCCCGTGATGGTGTGCTTAGCTGCACTAGCACCCAAGCACGGGAGAGCATCAGACAAATTGGCTTCCGCCTCTGGAGAAACATGACCTGCGGTACATTCCGGCGATCTTCCGCTGATCCTTAGCGAGTCAGTTCTCGAGCACAGTCAGCCTCTATCTCAGCAGATAGTAGAGGAGAATGGACGTAAGCTTACCTGTAGGGAGGGTTTACTACCCCTCACCTGGCGCCAATATGTTTGTTCTTCGGTGTGGTTCCATCCCCTCGGCCAATTGGTCATGCTTATGATGCTTGCCTGACTGACTGAACTAGAAATCTGTGGATTCCACCTTCATCAGAACGTTCAGACCAATAAAAAGGGGCGCTAAAAATATATGCTCGGGACTCAGTTATTGCGGCGGTTGCTTACTGCGCATATGGGTCGACAGTGAAGTGTGAGACTGAAACGGAGGGGTAAGTCATTAGCGAGGCGGATTAACCCCTTGAAGGGAGACTAGTTAAGGACACCGTTGCTGACATATCGAGTACACGAATGGTGAGTCTGTGTTTGAAACGAAAGAGAACGCGCTATCTGCTCAACAATCCTTGAAGAGCGACTAGACCTTATTTGAAGATGTTGGAGCGACCGTACTTCCCTCATCTCGGGGACGGGACCCGTCATCACTGCCCGCTTGGTCAGACCGGCGAGGGCTCCGAATGGCTCCTTGCATTCTCTGGCATTGCGGGCATAATGATCCATATTTTCCATAGAGCTTGCTTGACAAGATCGATGGAACGAGGTTCAATTGATCCTGACTTCGCCAGGCGTTGTTTGAATGTTCAATTGCGCAATCTTCTCCCTGCTTACACCGAACCTGGAAGACCCCAGAGTGGAAAGAAAGCATGAAACCAAATCAGGACCTGTTTGGCAAGGTATGTACGTATTTTGCGGATACTGGTCTCGCTGACAGATCTCGCAGACTGCCTTTGTGACGGGTGGCTCCGGTGGATTAGGAAAAGCGATTTCCAACATACTTGCTGCGCGTGGTTTGTGAATCCCTCCCGTTGGAAAACCCAGATGTTCACTGATCCCAAGCTAAGGTGCCAATGTCACAATATTCGCGCGACGGCCGGGTCCTCTAGCAGATGCGAAGAACGAGATAGTCGGGAATTGTGTGGATGCGGATCGGCAAGAGATCAATGCCGTGGCGGTGAATATGGCTGATGCCTCTGAGGTATGTTCCTCCAATGCTCGGAGAGACTGCAGCATGCGAATGGGATTCCCCCTAACCAACACATAGGTTTCGGAAGCATTCAGATCCCAACCCCGTATAGCGGATTTCCTGTACTGCTGTGCGGGGGGAAACCATGCCGAGAACGGGTTTTTCATCGATCTCAAAGCCACGCAGCTCGATTCTTGCATGAAGAATAATTATTATTCCACTGCTTATGCTGCCAAGGCCATGTTGGATATCTGGGTTGAGGACGACAAGAAACCTACCGGCATCGACATGCCAACCAACACCACTGGACCCAAACCCAGAAAGATTGTTTTCGCCAACAGTGCGGCGGCGTTCTTGGGGTTACCGGGGAGCGTTGCTTATACGCGTAAGCCGAATGCTCTTGATCTGTTGATTCGAAGTTTCTTGTCATCTTCCGGCTAACACCATCCAACTCAAAAGCCGCCAAAAGCGCCGTCCGAGCCCTTGCAGACACCCTCCGCTTGGAAGTCCTCCGCCACAACTCCGCCAGTACCACCTACACAATCCACATCGCCTTTCCGGCCGACTTCATCTCCCCTGGGTTCGTCCTCGAACAAGACACCAAACCTGACCTCACCAAGCGGATACAGGGAACCAACGTCGCCACTTTCGCGCAGCTGGAGGAGAAATTCCCTTCTTCGGAGAAAGTGGCCCAGGGGATAGTTGCGCGGGTCGATAAAGGGGATTTTATTATCTGCGAGGATTCATTGGCTGCGAGCCTTTTGTTTACGAATATGGTTGGGTTGAGCCCCAAGAGAGGACTTGGAATAATGGATTCGTTGTTGAGCGTGGTGATGGGGTGGTTTGTCGTGCCGGTGTTGAGGAGGAGGTGGGAGCGGATGTGCAGGGAAGATGGTAGTAACCAGTTACGATGAGGGAAAGCTCAGCAAGAAGGCCCTAGAGTCATCTCGCATGAGATTGAGTGCCAGATTTTGTCAATTTATACATTATTTGTGCTAGCCACCAAGCATGGCTTCGATGATTATGTGGCATCTTCATCAGACATAGACAGAAGTTGTTGCTCTACAGCCGGCCAGACTTCTTTCCGCAAGCTGTACAACAACCAGAAATTACCCGCAGCGTCTTTTCCAATCACCACGCCAGTGTTTCGCGTCGCGTAGCCTTTAGTCCCAGTTCCTTGGATGCAAGATGGTCTGCCCAGCTGATTGCTTCGCTTGTCCGTTGCCATTCCCGTTCTTATGACGGCAGCGGAGAAATCAACTTTGAACAGTTTTGCTTTGACCCAGTTTGACATCATTACCGTGTACATACTAGGATTTCCGAATAGGGCTGGATGATGTGCATTGTCCAGAGTATTTCTCTGGATGCTGTCCAGTGCTTGGAGTTGTTCGGCGTTCCGTTGCTGGATAAGAGACTTGCGGATTTCAAATGCGGTGAAGCTTAAAGGTTCTTCGAGAACCTGGCGAACGGAAAGGAATGTCAGGGTTGCGAATACGGCATTGGTTACCAATGCACATGTGGCGGATGGTATGTGGCCCAGCTCTGCTAAGATTGACCGGCAACAGTATGTATTCCGCATGTTAACTGTGCGGCTGGGACAAGGTTTTTCGGCTCGGAGAACCACGCGCGTCCACCAAGCAAACAGAACGTCACCCTCACTGACGAAAAGGGGTCTGCCGCCGTCGTTGGCGTCGCGCGATGCAAGCTCCGCCATCGCCTTAGATCGCATCTGTTGCAGGTATTTTGCGGGCAAAAAGATAACCCGTTCCTCCTCCCGGTGCTGCCAAAACAGCTCAATCGTAAGAATATACCGCAATGCAAACAGAAACCAGGTCCACCCTATGAGCAGCGTGTCGGCAAAGACGTATTTCTGCAACGGTTCTGTCTTCGACTCGGTGAGGCCAGCTAAAGGATCATGAGCGAATCCCACAAACGGCTTCACTTCATCTTCTCGTCCGCGCAGCACTGCAGACCAGGCGTCCAGAACGGCATCAAGTCCCATCATGTCCGTCAAGCTATGAAGGAAAGAAACGGTAACAAGTGTCGCGTCTAGGAAGGTGATAATGCGAACCCCCAGCTGGGGACTGTCTGAACAGAGCCAACCTTCCAAGCGATCGGGGAAAGCAGGAGTCCGGATGAATGATCTGAACTCCGGTGTAGTTGTATATGTAATGCCCTGAACGGCCGGGCGACCAGCGGCATCAAGGTGGTGAGGCTGAGCTAAACGCGATGTTTGTGGATGGTCGGCCACGTTCATGTCATATGCGACCGTGGAGTATGCGAAGCCAGGCCGCTTGTCGTCGAAACATTGTGGAACATGGTACTCCAGACCCCCCTCTGCATTCCTTCGGATTCGAGCACCGAGTTTCCGCCAGTCTCCTATTTCTAGCAGCCGGGATAGCGCACACCGAAGCTTCTCCGGGTCCAGGACGTCATCGAAGCGGAACGTGACGTCGAAGGAAAGGCCTCTTGTATGATGGTCATCATCCCAGTAGTGGAAGGGAATGATTGTGTCGGTTGGTACGGTCGGCGGAGGGGCAGACTCCCTCCCGAATCCAAGAAAACCCATGACAAGTTGCCTCTAATGGAGCCACTGGGTTGACGACGCGACAAAGATGATTCTGGTCCTGACCGTGATCGTGGTCCTGTCCTGGTGGTGGTCGCAGTCACTGCCTTTCATGATAGCGCTGCCCAGGTTAGTTTGCTCCACCAACCGGGCCGAGCCTTCGGGACCGGAACCCGTGCGGACCGGCGCCTCTTAGGCTCAGCCGTCATCCTCCAAACTCTGTCCACGCTTGGGAACTGCATCTGGGGCCATCCGCATTCGCTGTTACAGAGGCAGAGGACATACTCATTCATCTGTCATTCTGCTCTTTTCATCCTCAAGACACGTGACGGTCCGGATTCTGCTGAGTAATATCGACCGGCGATCCGGAAGAATATGAGATCCTGGAAAGGGGTCTCTTGGCTGCTCAAATACAGAAACCACTCCAATAGACACTCTTCCAGTACCTTATCTCCACACACTGCGTGGACCAACCCGTCGATAACTGAAAACTGATTTCTAGTTGTGTGAGTGTGTCTCTGATTGAGCTTGAGCCCTAAGCCGACGTTGCCTGAGAGTTAAACTATCGTGCCAAGCATGGGCCAGGCCGAGTTTAACACCAGAACGGACGCCAGCGCCGAGATATCCGCATTCGCAGTTCGACCAGAACCAGACTCTGAACCCATATCAGAAAAACCAGGAAAGGCAGAGACAGACGCAGAGACAGAGGCAGGCGGGACGGAAGTTCCTGCAGAGAGAAATGGCGAAGATGATGTCGAGCGGACACCAAAGAAATCACTGGCCTTTAAACTCGCTTTCATTGGCCTCGCTGCCAGCATGTTTGTGTTCCAGGTGGATGCAACGGCCCTCGGTATCGCCCTTCCGGTGAGCAATACCACGTTTTCTCATCGGGTGCTGAATTGCCCCAAGACTAACCTCGCCGGTAGACCATAGCGGCTGATCTCAAGGGCGAGAGTTTGGAGTCCTTCTGGGCGAACTTGTCCTACACCCTATGTGGCCTCGTCATGCAACCGGTGTGGGCCAGTATCTCCACCGCGTTCGGTCGGAAACCGCCTCTCTACGTATCCATGGCGTTATTCTTCATCGGATCCATCGTCTTTGCCGTGGCCCAAAATATGAACACGGTTATCGTCGGCCGCGTCCTTCAAGGGTTCGGAGGTGGAGGAATTGACGTGCTGGCGGAGGTAATTCTCGCAGATATGACGACGCTGGAGGAACGCTCGAAATATCTGGGCTTGATGGCCATTCCCATGGCGATTGGCAATATCATGGGGCCCTCGGTGGGTGCACTGTTCGCGACTTATGCGAGCTGGAGATGGATTGGATGGGTGAACTTGCCGTTGCTAGGGATCGGTACGCCCTTGGTGTTCTTCTTCCTCAAGCTACGACCAGTCCCCCTCGATGCATCGCTGGCCAAGAATTTGAACCGCCTCGATTGGATTGGTATGGTGTTGGTCGTCGTCGGGATCACGATCTTTGTGTTACCCCTCAGTTGGGCGGGCTCCTTATTTCCATGGGGTGCCTGGCAGACTCTCGTCCCACTGCTCTTAGGGGTTGCGGTACTGGTCATATTTGCGTTCTACGAAGCGAAGCCCGAAGCCCCTATTGTTCCTCATCGACTCTTCTACTCGAAGACTGGAAACATGACGTTAGTCGGAGGATTCCTCCATGGCGCGGTCCTGGTCGCGCTATTGCAGTACCTACCCTTGATCTACCAAGCCGTACAACTCGAAACTGCCATTTTATCGGCTGTCTCCCTGCTGCCCACCGTCATCATTAGCGTGGTGGTCGCAGCTGCCTCCATGATGTTGGTTCCGTGGTTTGGTGGATATGTATGGATTCTGAGGCTGGCATGGATCATACTCACGCTGGGAACCGGCCTGCTGGCCCTGTTCGACGTAGGATCGTCGTCATCCATGCGGCTCGGACTTCCCATCCTCTGGGGAGCGGGTGTTGCCTTGCTGCGTCTCAACCTTCTTCCCATGCAAGCGAGCGTCAAAAACGTCGACGACACAGGCCTGGCGATCGGACAATTTCTTACTATCCGCATGTTTGGCGGTCTCGTCGGCCTCACAATCTCTGCAACCATTTTCAACTCTGTCTTCTCGACATCCATCTCCGCCACTACAGTCCAACTTACCGGTCCTCTGGCCCCTCTCAAGGACGTCGCCAATGCGGTTGCCTTTATTGACAAGCTAAGATCAATAGACGTTCCTGTTGAAACGCTTGATCAGGTTCTGAGGGTCTATCTAAAGTGCTTCCAGACGATCTTTTACACCATGACGGGGCTTAGTGGACTGGGGTTGGTGACTTCCCTGTTTGTGGATGAGATTGATCTGAAGTCGCAGGGGTTGGGGAACCAGCGCTTCGAGGAATAGTCGGAAAAAAAGATGGATAAAGCGTTTGTACACTATCAACTAGAGTGTATTATTCAACGAGTAACCGGGACATGGTAGCTTTATGTACAACTATATCTTATCATAATCAATTGTATCCCATTGTTTGGGCTGGTTCAGAACATGCTGCAAATCCTCCATCGCACCCGGAAGATCGTCCAAACCGAGATGCAATGCCAATTCGATATAATCCTTTGTCCACAAGCCTGGCGAACCCCGAGGGTACTGCGATCTGAACCCCACAAATCGCTGCGCGCGCTTCGACAACTTCTTCACTGTTTCCAGCTTGATGATGAACGGATGTGCTTCCGCCGGCGTCAGGAAACTGGGGATGACGGTCAGCTGGATACACTTCCTTTCCGTCTCCGTTTTGTTCTCGCCCATGGCATGGATGACCTTCCCCCCGATCAGTAGACAGTCACCAGTCTTCATCTCGGCCGGGATCGTCTGTCCCATGTTCCCGCGTTGATGGAAGGGCCATTTGTTGCTCCCGGGGATGATGCGCGTTGCGCCATTGTCATCCGTAAAGTCCGAAAACGCAAAGAGGAAGTTGATCTGTGGCTCTGTGCCTTCGGGTCCGAGCAGGGCGTATGGTGGATAGGAGGTCAGATCGCGGTGCAAGACCTGCGCGGGCTGCGGTCCGGACGCGTTGAGTGTGGTTGCCGCCGAGAGCCAGTAGTCTCCGTTATGCCCGTCTTCGCTGTAGCAGCGCTGGCAGATGGCGTGGATGAAGTCGTTTTCGAGGATGCGCTCTCGAAACGTCGCGCTGTGGTTGATGAGGTCGCCGGCTCGCTTGGTTTTGGTGCCGTGGAAGGCTGCCAGGTCCTCATGGGGCACCCGGGAGCCCCGTTGGACTGAGTCGATGCGGGACTCGAGTTCTGTGGTGATCTGATGTGCCTCCGCGGTGGTGAGCATGTTCTTCAGGATGACGCCGCCGCTCTCTTTCCAGTGCTTGAACACTTCGTCCAAGGGCGTGTCGACTGTCACTTCGGCAAGCTTGAGTCCATTGGGCACGGCGACCTGCGGGACGTCTGTTGGGATTCGCCACATTTGGAGTTCTGGAGGAGGGCTCCGAACGATGTATTGATGGTAGAGAAGATGGGAGTGGTGAAAATGACCGATCTCCTAGTTGCTTGCATACGAGTTTATGAATAGGAGGTCTCATAATTTCATATGGGCTTTTTCGTTCCATGACCTCGGTCGTCAGACTCGGATCCCGTCCACTGATACCTCCGGGCTCTCGGATTCCGATCGCCCGGTTGATGCACGCAGCATCTGTGACATGCTCGGTTCGTCTATCAGTCAATGTCGTACGATTCACATCAGCCCCTAGCTTACATAGAGACTGGATGACCGGAGGCTACCGGAGGGGAGACATGTGGCCTCCAGCGGATCTTGAGCCCGGAGGGACAAAGGACTATGAGATCACTTTGGGTCGAGGCCTGTAGAACCATAATCTTTACAAGCGAATGCCTTTCGTACATCGTATACAGACCAACATGCCACCAATTGGGAGGCCTTGAGTTTTCCTATCCCTGTACACGGACGAGCCCATTATTCACCCTCATGGACGCAGAAGATTACTTATAAAAGTCTCTGAGAATAGATAGATACTTGGCATTTCTCACATAAATGTACGGTCTGAGCAAGATACAAAGAATGTAGAAAACATGAATAGATGCAAGGAATATTTCAACCGGACGGGTGAAGCCTGTATTGCAGCAAGTAGTAGAACGATAAAATGTACTCTTTCCGAGTAGCAATCCGCTTGAAAGTGGATTAGCTCTCGTTGTTTTCTGTCGCGATTCTATAAACCTCATTTGCTGCATACTGGCCGAGAATGTCAAGAGAGCCAATGCTCATCATCTCCAGCATGGGAAGATCAAACGAGAAGACCTGTTTGATCCAAGCGCGTAACTCGAGAGCCACCAACGAGTCGAGGCCGAGATCGAGCAGTGGCCAGCTCGTATTAGGCTCCTCATGAGGTTTAAGCAACAGGTCGAAGAGTCTCTTGCCGATCTCGACAGCGAAGAGCTTGGCTGCTTCTGGCGACTTGAGAATGGAAGGATCCGCTTTAGCACTGCTCAAGTAGGTCTTCAGGACATCCGTCGAGGCTGCGGTTGCGGCCGCCACCGTAGAATTGTTGTGATAGGAGGCCATGCGGCGGTCTTTCTTCCAGATCACGTAGTTGCTGGGATCGTGCAATGGAATGAGCAAAGCAAGGCCGACGAGGAAAGTATTCTTGTGCACGAAATAAGACGTGGCATTTGAATCGGCTGCAAGAGCTTCTTCGGCGACGGCTTGACCGGGTTTGTTGTGGACCAACATGGAGATTGCCATGGCGTCAATGACCTCCTGCTCCAGTACAGGCTTGAAGCCGCTCCTGGACATTTTCCCCATCATGCCTTGGTGCTCCGAAATCCATCCCACATCCTCGACAGCTCCCATATCAACCACCGAGGCCGCCAAACCCAGGCCGTTCCGGTACTGGGCGAACGCGTCTAGGAAGCTGTTACCACTGGCATAATTGGCTTGGCCAGCTTGTCCAACAATGCCCGATACCGAGCTGAACATCACAAAGAAATCCAGATCGATACCCGCGACCACAGAGGCATCGTGGAGGTTCCAGGTTCCCTGAACTTTGGGTGCCGTCGACGCCATCCACTCGTCGAAGCTCATCCGAGTAAAGTTCTCATTGGCCACCACCATAGACATCTGTACAATACCTTTGAGAGGATATGTTGCCGCAGCAATGGCTCTCTGAACATCCTCGAGCTTCGTGGTATCTCCGCTCACAAGCTTGACAGCGCAACCCATGCTCTGGAGCTCGGTGACAAAGTCGTCATCTTTGGGCGTGAGGCCAGCGCTACGGGACAGGTAGACGAGCTCGCGGGCGCCGTGATCGACCATCCAGGTGGATACGGCACGACCGATACCGCCAAGGCCACCGACCATGAGGTATGAGGCGGATCCGTTGAAGGCAATCGTCAGAGCTCTCTTGGTGGTTTCCAAACCCAGCTGGGTTTCCCCTTCGGTTGGCTTGAACGAAACGCCCACACGGCCGATGTGCTGTCCCTTCTCCATGAATCGGAATGCATCTTGGGTCTGGGCTGCGGGAAAGATTGTCATCGGTAGCGGGGAGATGTATCCTTTGTTGTAGAAATCCAAGATCGAGAAGATCAAAGCTCTGGCGACATGGATTCTCTTCCAGAGCCCATCGATGTCGACACAGCAATAATTCCGGTTCGCCAGGAAAGGCTTCATGTCGAGTTTACCGTCTCCGATCAGATCGCGTTTTCCGATCTCGAGTAAAGTTCCAAATTCAGCAACGCAGCTCCACGTGGCGTGCAAGAGCTCGCCAGAGAGGGAGTTGAGGATGAAGTCCATGCCACGGCCTTCCGTTTCTCGCATGACACCATCCACAAACGACCTGTCGCGAGAGTGGAAGATCCTGTTTCGCGGGATGTGGTAGTTCTCCATCAAATACTTGACCTTTTCTTCGCTGCCAACCGTGACATACACATCGGCCTCCAGCATCTGGGCTACCTGGATAGCCGCCAGGCCCACTCCACCACACGCGCTGTGTATCAGGACGGACTATGTAGGGACCATTGATCAGTAAATGCACTGCCACATTACACAATAACATCGGGTCTTCCGTCGCCGCTTACCTGGCCTTTTGTGACGCGTCCAACGTTGACCATAGAGTGAATCGCGGTGAAATACGGTATAAGCATCGTTCCAGCCTGATCGAAGGTGAGGCTGTCGGGAATACGCACGCAGACAGCAGCCAACGTGGTAGTATATGTGGAAAAGGCGTCTTTCCTGCAGAAGCAAACGACCCGATCACCTACCTGGAGGTCGTCGGGGCTGACGTCTGCCCCCACGCGCGTGACGATGCCTGCGGCTTCGATTCCAAAGAGACGGACCGGCAGCTCAACAATGCCCAGTGCGACCAGGATATCCTAGACGTCTCATGTCAGTAACATGACACTTACTCTGGGCAAATCTCTTGAATTGACTTACTCTAAAGTTCAAACCGGCAGAGTACACCTCGACCTCCACTTCGTCCTTCTCGAGGTCCTTTCGTTCATGCCGCGCATAGTGTAGACTGTTGACCCGTCCCGGCGTGCGGACATTCAGTGTGGCCATCTCGTTTGACTCCTCCGAGACCAAGAGCTCATCAGCCAGGCTGAAAGGGTGGAAGCGTGCGACTTGCACTCGGCCATTGAGAATGGCCCATTCGAAGTCGGGGTTGAGTTCCTCGTCACCTTGGCGAGTCTGAAACTTGGCAAACACCCGAAGGAATCCCCCAATGGACTTCGAGTTGTCAAAACTGTCGATCTGACAGGTTCCCAAATCAGCCAGCTGCTCCGTACGGATAGTTCGGGCGAGGCCGAGAACTTGCGCATATCGGGGATCACGGCATCCTATGTCGATGAGATGGGTTGCCCAGAGCATCCCGGCGTCGCGGTCCTGAAGACCGAGAAGGAAGGCCTTGAATAACAGGAAGCGTGCTTCATCGATTCCGTGGAAAAAGGGCTGTTCGATGTCCAGGAGCGAAATGACATCTTGGCCAGCCGGTGGGTCATCCTCTAATCTGCATCTGGTCACCTCGTAGCCCTCCTTTTCGAGCTCGCTCAACATGTGTGTGACAGCAGGTCCTTCCTCGTCCAGGAGCACCGTGACCTTCTTGGTGGGCGTCTCACGGACCTGCCTTACGACCAAGGTGGTTGTAACTTGATGGGGTTCTTCTGAATCCAGAGCCACGGCCTCGATGTCGCCAAACTCTGCAGCTGCAAGCTTCGACTGCCACTCTTTTTGGCTCAGGTAGGGTGCCTCGATTGGACCATCGGCAGGGCCCGCCCACCACGTTGGCAGCACACCGAGCACATACTGGATCCATCTGGATGACGGGCAAAGCTCTTGCAGAAGCAACCTACCATCGGGACTTAGGAGTTTCCTTAGGTTGGACAAGCTTTCCTGGATATTTTTGCACTCACGAAGAGCGTTGACAGCTATAATGAGGTCGTACCCGACTTCCTCGAATCCTTGTTCAAACGGATCCTGGCTGACGTCCAAACTGGCGAACTGCATATTTGGGAATATCTTCTCTTGGGTGGTCGCCACAACGTAGCCTGGGGCAGTCAAAGTGTACTTGGCGCAGAGAATCTCCCCATCAGGCCGTGTCAATTCGGCAAGGATGTCTCGGTGCAACGACACGCCGTTTCCAGTTCCAATCTCTAGAATCCGGAGGTTGGGCTTGGAGTGGCTCAACATTTGAATAAATTCCCTTCGGTCTAGCTGTCCAAGGAATTCATGGACGTGCGTTAGGGTCTCCCCGGGGAGGATACTCTCTAGGCTTTCGCCGGACAAGAGGGAATCCATGTTCATGCAGACTTGATGCATGGCACTGGCGACTGGGGCTGCCGGGGTGTTTGCTAGCTGACTCATTATATTGTCGATTCGAGCGGAGATAGCGTCGTTATCGAGGCCTGTCCAAGTCGACGGCAATCTGAAGGCAATCGCGCTGGATTGAGACCCGACCCAAGCCATATATTTCTGTAGATGGGGCAGGATTGGATTGCTTGCTGATTCTGAAAAAAGCCATTGGGACAAGAGTAAGCAGATGTCTCCGAGCTCCTCCAGGAGACGCAGATGGTCTGTTCGGCTTGCCGGTGTGCGGAAGAGCTCGTCCACATCGAGGAAGTCAATGTCGGGTCTCCATTCACATCTGGATGCGGCATGTGTGTCCGAACTGTCCGTTGCACCGGCACCGTCTGCAAGTGACATCCGGATACCGACAGCTTCAACGACTGTGGTGCCCCCGGATGTACAACGGCCGTCTCCAACAACCGAAAAGTTACTCGACAGCTTAGCGGAGACGCTGGTGATCATATCGGACGAGCATCTATGGACGGTGACTTTATCGATGCTGGTCGGTAGCCAGGTCTTGGTTTTGCGTGCGTAGCCCTTGACTGCAGCAGCACCCAGAATCTGCAGGGTTGCATCGAGGACGGTAGGGTGTATGTGGTAGTTGGCTTCATCTC